AATCCTAGCTACTCGGGAGGCTGAGGCAGGAGAATCACTTGAACCTGGGAGGTGGAGGTTTTAGTGAGCCGAAACCGTGCCACTGCACTCCGGCCTGGGCAATAAGAGTGAAACTCCATCTCAAAAAAAAAAAAAAGAAAAAATTTAAAAATTAGATGGGCGTGGTCGCATGTGCCTGTACTCCCAGCTACTCAGGAGGCTGAGGCAGGAGGATGACTTGGGTCTGGGAGTTTGAGGCTGCAGTGAGCTCCGATTGCACCACTGCACTCCAGCCAGAGTGACACAGCAAGACTTTGCCTCAAAAAAAAATTATTGGACACAACTATTGTGCCAGACCCCTAGGCCAGCAGTGGGGAGTCAGTGGGAGAACTAACAGGTAAACAGACCCAGTCCCTGCCCTCAGGGAGTTACAGTTTAATGGAGAAAAGAGGCATTCAACAAAGGACTCAGCTGACTAGTGAGGCTCGAGAGCGATCATTTATACTGTGACAGAACAAAGCAGATTATAAAAATACAAGGATTGGCCGGGCGCTGTGGCTCACGCCTGTAATCCCAGCACTTTGGGAAGCTGAGGCAGGTGGATCACCTGAGGTCAGGAGTTCGAGACCAGCCTGTCCAACATGGTGAAACCCCGTCTCTACTAAAAATACAAAAAATTAGCCAGGCAGTGGTGGCTCATGCCTATAGTCCCAACTACTAGGGAGGCTGAGGCAGGAGAATCGCTTGAACCCGGGAGACGGAGGTTGCGGTGAGCCGAGATTGCTGCCATTGCACTCCAGCCTGGGCAACAAGAGCAAAACTCCATCTCAAAAAAGAAAAAAATTTAAAATATATATAGGGATTAAAATAGTCCATTACTGACACCTGAACAGACAGAGTGATCCAAAGAATGAAACAGAAATTCCGGAAGTTGACCTGAGTACACACATACACACACACACAGGCAGGCGTGAAAGTCTCTATGACCCTCAAGGTGTAAGGTTCATTTTTCTTTTTCTTTTCAGACAGGGTCATGCTCTGTCACCCAGGCTGGAGTGCAGTCGCGCTATCTCAGCCTAGCTCACTGCAAACTCCGCTCCACCCTTTGTCCCGCTAACCTCCCCAGACCATGCTGAGCTCAAGCAATTCTCATGCCTCAGCCCTCAGCCTCATGAGTAGCTGGAACTACAGGCGTGCACCACCACACTGAGCTAATTTTTTTGTATTTTTAGTAGAGATGGGGTTTCACCATGTTGGCCAGGATGGTCTCGATCTCCTGACCTTGCGATCCGACCAGCTTTGCCTCCCAAAGTGCTGGGATTACAGGTGTGAGCCACCGTGCCCGGCCCTGGCCTCATTTTTCTAAATCACAGAACATCAGGTTCCCGGTACCCGGGCTCTCAGGACAGAGGGTACAGTGTGGTCACTTTGCATGGCCTCTCTCCCCTCCTGAGTTTGTGCCAGGGTCCCAGGGCTGGCCCAGAGGAGGAAAATGGCAGAGGGCGGAGGTGGGGTGTCTGGTGTTGGGACCGCTCTGGCCCCCCTTGTCGCTGTCGGCGTCTCTTCTGCATGGTTGCTGGGAGGTGCTTTGCCTGTTTGAGGGGCTGGCAGCCGCAGCCTCTCTGCAGACGAGGGGCTTGGCTTCCATGTTGACCGCAGCTCCAAAGACCTGCAGAGTCCAGCCTCCCCCCAGCCCCAGTCTTCCCCACCCAGGCCCTGCCCTTCGGGTGCAGAAACACGCAGGTCCCTCTCCAGGACTGTGGGGGGAGTGTGTCCCTCAGACTGGCCTGTGTCCTGGCTCCTCTTACTGCCTCTTCCAGAGATTGTCACCTGCAGCTGCCCCAGGATAAATGCAAAGCCAGAGAGGACTGCTGGACGCCTGTGTGCCTGGGGTGGCAGGGACAAACTTGAGCCAGCAGGTGGCCTGAGCAGGGCCGTGGTGAGGACACCCTTGGCGGCTTGTCCCACATCAAGCTGGGAGGTGACCCTGAGGATGTATTAGTCTGCAGTGTATGATAAAAATGGCATTTCAGCCAGGTGAGGTGGTTCACACCTGTAATCCAAGCACTTTGGGAGGCCGAGGCGGGCGATCACAGGATCAGGAGTTCAAGACCAGCCTGACCAACATGGTGAAACCCCATCTCTACTAAAAATACAAAAATTAGCCGGGCATGGTGGTGCGCACCTGTAATCCCAGCTACTCAGGAGGCTGAGGCAGGAGAATCGCTTGAACCCAGGAGATGGAGGTTGCGGTGGGCCAGATTGAACCACTGCACTCCAGCCTGGGCAACAGAGCAAGACTCTGCCTCAAAAAAAAGGCATTTCAGTTCAGGAGTGGTGGCTCATGCCGTAATCCCAGCACTCTGGGAGGCTGAGGTGGGCGAATCACCTGAGGTCAGGAGTTCAGGACCAGCCTAGTCAACATGGTGAAACCCTTTCTCTACTAAAAATACAAAAATTAGCTGGACAAGGTGGCACAAGCCTGTATCCCAGCTACTTGGGAAGCTGAGAGAGGAGAATCACTTGAACCCAGGAAGCAGAGGTTGCAGTGAGCTGAGATGGTACCACTGCACTGCAGCCTGGTGACAGAACGAGACTCCACCTCAAAAAAAAAAAAGGCTGGGCGCGGTGGCTCATGCCTGTAATCCAAGCACTTTGGAGGCCAAGGCGGGCGGATCACCTGAGGTCGGGAGTTCAAGATCAGCCTGATCAACATGGCGAAACCCCGTCTTAAAAAAAAAAAAAAAAAAGGAAAAGAGGGAGTCTTGCCTGGGTGCCGGGACCCGGGGTTGGTGCCCAGCCCTGCTGCTGACCTGCCCTGGGACTGCAGGAAGCGTTTTTCCCTGCCGGGCCCCAGTTTCTTCTCATCCGTGTAATGAGATTAGTCATAACACCTGCCCTGCCCACATCTGAGGACCTGAGGAGAGGATGAGTCAATGAGCAAGAACGTGTTTTCAAAAAGGGGAAGTAAGCTCTTCCCACATTCTGATGTCTGCTTTCAACTGCCTTTCAAAAGGGAGTGAGAGGGCCCGTGGCTCCCGCCTATAACCCAGCACTTTGGGGGGCCGAGGTGGGAGGATCACTTGAGCCCAGGAGTTTGAGACCAGCCTGGGGAACATAGCAAGACTCTGTCTCTACAAAAAGTTACAAAAATTAGCTGGGCAACTGGATGCAGTGGCTCACACCTGTAATCCCAGCACTTTGGGAGGCTGAGGCAGGCGGATCACATCAGTTCAGGAGTTCAAGAACAGCCTGGCCAACACGATGAAACCCATCTCTACTAAAAATACAAAAATTAACCAGGAGTGGTTGTGCACGCCTGTAATCCCAGCTACTCGAGAGGCTGAGGCAGGAGAATCGCTTGACCCCGGGAGGCGGAGGTTGCTGTGAGCTGAGATTGTGAAACTCCACTCCAGTCTAGGAAACAAAGTGAGACTGTCTCAAAACAAACAAACAAAAAAACAAAAAAAGTAGCTGCGCATGGTGCCTCATGCCTGCAGTCCCAGCTACTAGGAGGCTGAGGTGGGAGGATCGCTTGAGCCTGGGAGGTCAAGGCTGCAAGGTGCTGTGATCACACCACTGCACTCCAGCCTGGGCAACAGAGTGAGACCCTGTCTCAAAAAAATAATATAATAAATAAAAGAGACCCCAGAGAGCTTCCTTGACCCTTCCCCCATGTGAGGATACAGCTAGAAGGCACTCTACAAATCAACGGACACCAGCTCTTCCTAAGTCTGTTTTTCTTTTTTGAGACAGAGTTTCACACTGTCACCCAGGCAGGAGTGCAGTGGTACGATCTCAGCTCACTGCAACCTCAGCCTCCCGGGTTCAAGCGATTCTCCTGCCTCAGCCTCCCAAGCAGCTGGGACTACATACAGGTGCCCAATACCACACCCAGCGAAATTTTGTATTTTTAGTAGAGATGGAGTTTCACCATGTTGGCCAAGCTGGTTTTGAATTCCTGACCTCATGATCCGCCTGCCTTGGCCTCCCTAAGTGCTGGGATTACAGGCCTGAGCCACCGCACCTGGCCTTTTTTGTTTGTTTGTTTTGAGATAGAGTCTTACTCTGTTGCCCAGGCTGGAGCGCAGTGGCGTGATCTCAGCTCACCTCAGCCTCCCCGTCCCCAGTGATTCTCATGTTTCAACCTCCCAAGTAGCTGGGATTACAGGTGCACGCCCGCATGCCCTACTAATTTTTGTACTGTTAGTAGAGACAGGGTTTCACCACGTTGGCCAGGCTGGTCTCAAATCCCTGACCTCAGGTGATCCTCCTGTCTCAGCCTCCCAAAGTGCTGGGATGACAGGTGTGAGCCACCACGCCTGGCCTCTTCTCACGTCTTAATCTTAGATTTCTCAGCCTCTACAACTGTGAGAAATAAATGTCTGTTGTTTTTAAGCCACTCAGGCTCTGGCGCTTTGTTATCGCTGCTTGAATGAACCAAGACCTTGAGCCTGGGAGGTCAAGTCTGCAGTGAGCTATGATCGCATCACTGCACTCCAGCCTGGGCAACAGAGTGAGACCCTGTCTCAGAAAATAACAATAATAATAAGTACGTAAAAGGGACTCCAGGGAGCTTCCTTGACCAGCATTCTCTATGAACCCAAAATAGACACACCATCTATGTCTTTTCTTTTTTCTTTTTCTTTTTTTTTTTTTTTTTGGTTTTTGAGACAGAGTCTTACTCTGTTACCCAGGCTGGAGGGTGGTGGTGCCATCTTGGCTCACTGCAGCCTCAGCCTCCCAGGCTCAAGCGGTCCTCCCTCCTCAGGTCCTAAAGGAAGAGTCGCCAGGTTGGGGACTATTTGGACAAGAGTATCCACGAGCCAGCCAGCCGAAGCGGTATTGCCCCTGGGGACTGCCTCCTCCTTCCTCAGCCCCTCCCTGGCCAGGTGCTCCTGGGGTAGGGTGGGGAGTCCAGGCTTGTCTTGCAACTGATTGTTCTCTTTGGACCCCTCCCTGGTGGTGCCAGATTCACTGGGCCGGCAGATTCTGCCCCCAAACCTGTCCAACCAGTTGTTTGGGAGGAGGGGGTACCTGGGAGGGGCATCGGGAGTTGCCAGAAACAGCCTCCCCTAGCCCAGCACGGACCACAGACAGGGGAGCCTCCCGGACTTTGGCACTGCAGACGGATGGACAGACAGATGGACAACAGCCGGAGGCTTGGCCTGGCCACGGGGCTCTCTGCAGGACAGTGCCAACTGCTCATGTCGCTGTTGCTGCTACTGACCCGTGTCCAGCCTGGGACGGGCGTGGGTGAGTGAGGGCGGGGGTGGGCACAGGGTACCCACTGCATCACAGGCTGCAGGACAGACCCCAGAGCTCGCCTTGTTGCCAGATTCTCACACGTGGCTCACTGCCTCCTTCCATGAGGAGAGGTTTAAAGAAGCCCAGGAGAATGTGTGCTCGCAGGAAGCACTGGCAAGTCCAGCCTGGGCAACATAGCAAGACCCCATTTCTAAAAAAATTTTTTTTTTTTAATTAGTTGGGTGTGGTGGAATGCATCTACTTGGGAGACTGAGGCGGGAGGAAGGCTTGAGCCCATGCAGTGAACTCCACTGCACTCCAGCCCGGGCCAAATAGCAAGACCCTGTCTCAAAAAAGAAAAGAAAGCAGGGAGGGAGGGAGGAAGGGAGGAAGGAAGGGAGAGAAAGAAAGAAAAAGCAACAAAGAAAGAAAGAAAAGAAGGAAGAGAGAGACGCCGGGCGCGGTGGCTCACGCGTGTAATCTCAGCAGTTTGGGAGGCTGAGGCAGGTAGATCACAAGGTCAGCAGATCGAGACCATCCTGGTCAATATGGTGAAACCCCATTTCTACTAAAAATGCAAAAATTAGCTAGGTGGAGTGGGTGGAGGCTGTAGTCCCAGCTACACGGGAGGCTGAGGCAGGAGAATCTCTTGAACCCGGGAGGCGGAGGTTACAGTGAGCTTAGGTCACGCCACTGCACTCCAGCCTGGGCAGCAGAGTGAGACTCCATCAAAAAAAAAAAAAAAAGAAAGAGAGGGCCAGGCACGGTGGCTCAAGCCTGTAATCCCAGCACTTTGGGAGGCCGAGGTGGGTGGATCATGAGGTCAGAGATTGAGACCATCCTGGTCAACGTGGTGAAACCCCATCTCTACTAAAAATACAAAAAAAAAAAAAATTAGCTGGGCATGGTGGCGCGTGCCTGTAATCCCAGCTACTCAGGAGGCTGAGGCAGGAGAATTGCCTGAACCCAGGAGGCGGAGGTTGTGGTGAGCCGAGATCGCGCCATTGCACTCCAGCCTGGGTAACAAGAGCGAAACTCCGTCTCAAAAAAAAAAAAAAAAGAAAGAGAGAGAGAGAAAAAAGAAAAGAAAGAAAAGAAAAATTGGACAGGCTGAGAGATAAAATCCTCCAATCTCTGCCCCCACCAATCTCTGCCTGCTCCACTTGTCTTTACAAATATTAAGTGCCTACTGCATGCAGAGTGCCCTGGGCTTCAGAGCTAGGACTGAGAGCTCTTAAGGAAGGAATCATGGCCGGGCGCGGTGGCTCAAGCCTGTAATCCCAGCACTTTGGGAGGCCGAGGCGGGTGGATCACGAGGTCGAGAGATCGAGACCATCCTGGTCAACATGGTGAAACCCCGTCTCTACTAAAAATACAAAAAATTAGCTGGGCATGGTGGCGCGTGCCTGTAATCCCAGCTACTCAGGAGGCTGAGGCAGGAGAATTGCCTGAACCCAGGAGGCGGAGGTTGCGGTGAGCCGAGATCGAGCCATTGCACTCCAGCCTGGGTAACAAGAGCGAAACTCCGTCTCAAAAAAAAAAATAAATAAATAAAGGAATCATGACAATCGCCCCCAAGGAAGACTCTAGTCTGAACCTTTAGAATTGAGTTGAATTCAACGGCAATGAATCGAATCTAACTGAGCTGAACAGAACAGAGGCAGCTGCCGGAGGCGTGCACAGAAGTCCACTCCATCCTTCCGCTCCTCCTGGACCAATTCGGGGCTGGGGAGAGGAGGGGGGCTGGGGTCGTGCTCCTGCCTAGGAGGCTCAGGGAGAAGCTGAGGCGGTGTGAGCTCTCCAACCAGCAAGGCTGGAGACAAGCCAAGTCGGCAATCCCGAGTTCCCTTTGGTGTGCGGACCTGGGATGCTTGACCTCATCTCCCGCGCTTCCCTGGGGAGGGGCGGTGGGAGTCTGAGCGGGGGACCCGGTCCTGAAGGCGAAGACGCCTTAGGGCCCTGGCAGAGGCAGCAGAGAACCCATCGTCGTGGAGGAGAGGGCATTTTAGACTCAGAACCAAGCTCTGGCTTCAAAGCCTCCGGACCCTCTGGGCAGTCTGTATCCCTCCCAGCCTGGGGTCTCAGCCAAGGGGCCCTTCCTGTGCCGCCCCCCCCCCAAGTGCCTGCCAAGCCACACAGCATCTCAGCAAGCCAAACAACCTAGATCGTGTGGGTGGAACTGGAGGGGCTTCAGATGGAGGTCACTGGGCATGTGAGCAGCAGAGTTCAGGCAGGTTCAGGCTGCCCCGAAATTCCAGTTGCATCCCAACATGGCCCGGCCCGGGAGAACTGTGCCCATCGCTGGGGTGGGGCCTCCCAGGCCGCCATTGTCCTAGACCTTCCACAGTGCCCAGCCCTACGAGGGTCCTAAGAGAGGGGCCAGGGGCTGGACTCAGACCTCCCACTCATGCCGATGGGACACAGAGTTGCCGGGGAAGCTTCCTGGTTCATGCCGGACCTGACCTCCCAGGAAGTGCCCGTAACCTGGGCTCCCAAGTTAAGTCTGGATCTGGGCCAGGGGAGACCAGAGCTGATGGGGGCTTGGTTGCCCCACTGCACCTCTCCTCTCTGCCCTCCCCTTCCAACTGCCCCAGAGCGCATCCACTACCTGCCCCAGCTCTCAAAGGACACCCTGGCGGGGAGGCTCACCCAGTCCACCTTCACACTGGAGCAGCCTCTGGGCCAGTTCGACGGCCACAACATCTCGGACGTGGATACCATCTGGCTGGTGGTGGCCCTCAGCAACGGTGGGTGCTGCTGGGGCCAGGCTTCGGTTTTTCCCTGTGAAATGGGCCTGCGGGCCTGAGAGCAGCAGCAGGCAGGTGTGTTGTGGGGAGAGGCAGCGAGCAGGTGCTGCAGGGATGGGGCCGGGGAGGGCTGTCAGGCCTGGTATGGAGGGTGGGATCCTGCCTGTGTACCCGGTCTGACCATGGTGCCACTCTTAGCCACCCAGAGCTTCACCGCCCCACAGACAAACCAGGACATCCCTGCTCCTGCCAGCTTCTCCCAGACGGGCTACTATCTCACGATGAGGGCCAGCCGGGCACTGTACCAGCGCGGCCAGGCCAGCAGCCAGCTCCGTGTCCTCCGTGTCGGCAATGATACCCACTGCCAGCCGACAAAACCAGGCTGCAACCATCCGCTGCCCGGCCCGGGCCCCTACAGGTGAGCAGCTCTACCAGGCCCTGGCTGCTTCTGCCTGGGGCAGCTCCTAGGAGGCTCTCTGGGGCCCCAGAGGTGCCTGGGTCCCCTGCTCCAGTCCAGCCAAAGGGAAGAGGAGGCAGCAGGCAGCGGCTGGGAAGGCCTTCAGGAATTATGTGAATTCTGCTTTTTATTTATTTATTTATTTTATGAGATGGAGTCTTGCTCTGTCACCCAGGCTGGAGTGCAGTGGCGTGATCTCAGCTCACTGCGACCTCCACCTCCCAGGTTCAAGGGATAGTCTAATCTGTCTCCTGAGTAGCTGGAATTACAGGCATCTGCCACCACACCCAGCTAATTTTTGTATTTTTAGTAAGACAGGGTTTCACCATGTTGGCCAGGCTGGTTTCGAACTCCTGGCCTCAAGTGATCTGCCTGCCTCAACCTCCCAAAGTGCTGGGATTACAGGTGTGAGCCACCGCGCCCGGCCTCTCCTGCTTTTCTTGTGCAGAAGGTTCCTCTCCTCCAACCCCAGTCCCCAGGGACCCAGTGGACCACTCAGGTGGCGTCTCTCCATCCAGATGGCATTCCCGGGCAGGGTGTCTCCCCACTAAATGCTTGATTCATGACTGTTCGGTTCTGAGAGATCTAATACCCACCCGCTACCTTTCCCAAATGAGGACACAGAAGCCCAGAGAGGGGGAGGGGCGCTCCCACTGTCACACCATCACACCGCTGGAAATGTCACACCGAGATTTGAACCCATTCTGCTGGGCTCTTTAGCCCCAGCCTCCGGCCCCCTCCCGAGACTCCAGGCACCAAGGCCTGATGGTTTCAGGACTCCGGGGGACCACCATGCCCAATGCTTGATCTCCCATTCAGGGTGAAGTTCCTGGTGATGAATGACAAAGGACCCGTGGCGGAGACCGAGTGGTCCAACGACACCCGCCTGCAGCAAGGTAGGGGCCAGTGGCTCGGGTCAAACGGTAGGGGCAGGGGCAGGAGCCGGGGGCCTGGGGGCACCGGAGGACTGAGGATGGGCTGGGGCCCGCTACGCAATCAGAGGCACCTCGACCACTCGACCATCCTGCCATCAGCAGGCGCCCCTCCCCCAGGCCTGGGCGGTGGTAGTGGAGGCCGGGAAGTGATTGGTCTGGGTACTGCCCAAGGGCCCCTTCAGGTCGGATAAAAATGTCTTTCCCCGCCCACCGGTGCCGCCCCCATCACCGCCCTCAGCCCAGGAACTCCGCGCTGTCGGCGGCCCCCAGAGCCCGGGCACGGTGGTCATCATCGCCATCCTGTCTGTCCTCCTGGCACTCCTCCTCACGGCCCTCCTGGCCGTGCTCATCTACACCTGGTGAGTGGACCCGGCTCAGACCACCCAAGCCCCTTGGGAGGGGCGGGGCGCTTGGCTGGTAACCCCTTCCTCTCTAGCTCCTCCCCGCCCGCCGCTTGCCCACCTTCCAAGTGGGCACCGTGCACCCCCTGGTGACAGTATCTGGGATTGCAAGTGAGGGCGGCCTGCAGACGCCCCAGGTGGAGGTGAATTGCTTTGCGGCCAAGCTCTGGGCATCGCCTCAAGACGTCATACAGGCGGAGTGCGTTGGCTCACGCCTGCCATCCCAGCAGTTTGGGAGGCTGAGGCGGGCGGATCGCCTGAGGCCAGGAGTTCAAGACCAGCCTGGCCAACATGGTGAAACCCCCATCTCTACTAAAAATGCAAAAAGTTAGCCAGGCGTGGTGGTGGGCGCCTGTGATCTACTCAGGAGGCTGAGGCAGGAGAATGGCTTGAACCCAGGAGGTGGAGGTTGCAGTGAGCTGTTATACCACTGCACTCCAGCCTGGGCGACAGTGAGACTCCATCTAAAAAAAAAAAAAGAAAAAAAAGGGGGCGGCTGGGAGAGATGGCTCACGCCTGTAATCCCAACAGCTTGGGAGGCCAAGGTGGGTGGCTCACCTGAGGTCCAGAGTTCAAGACCAGCCTGGCCAACATGGTGAAACCCCGTCTCTACTAAAAATACAAAAATTAGCCGGGCGTAGTGGCACGCACCTGTAATCCCAGGTACTTGGGAGGGTAAGACAGGGGAATCGATTGAACCCGGGAGGCAGAGGTTGCTGTGAGCCGAGATCACATCCTTGCACTCCAGCTTGGGGAACAAAAATTGAAACTTCATCTCAAAAAAAAAAAAAAAGTGTCATACAGAGCTCAGGTGTCTGAACCTGGGCCCCAGAGGGTGTCCACAGGCTTCCTAGAGAAAAGAGGAGATCTAGCTCTGGTGGGACTTGGAGAAAAGGTGGAGAAGGGTGACTCCAGGAGCCGGTGGTGGGTTTGGATCAGGAGAGACAGGCAGATGATGTTTTTAATTTTTTTTGAGACAGAGTTTCATTCTTGTTACCCAAGCTGGAGTGCAATCACACGATCTCCACTCACCACAACCTCCGTCTCCTGGGTTCAAGCACTTCTCCTGCCTCAGTCTCTCGAGTAGCTGGGATTGCAGGCGTGTGCTACCACGCCTGGATAATTTTTTCTATTTTTAGTAGAAACGGGGTTTCACTCTGTTGGCCAGGCTGGTCTCAAACTCTTGACCTCAGGTGATCTCCCGGCCTCAGCCTCCCAAATTGCTGGGATTACAGGCGTGAGCCACCACGCCCAGCCAGGCGGATAATATTTAAGCAGAATCCTGGGGTGTGGAGGGTGGAGGGGGAGAGTGGTGGGGAGCAGGAGGGAGGAGCTACATTTGTGAGGTTTGGAGAAATTGCCTTGGTCCCTTTGGTTAATTCCGCCCAACCAGTGGAGCCTCAGTTTCCCCTATGCGATGGGTGGGAGCATGCTAGCCAACGGCTGTGGGAGCTCGGCCAGAGCCTTTCTTCACCATCCATCATCTCTCCCTCTCTCCTCCCTTCCCAAGCTTCAACAGCTGCAGGAGCACGTCCCTCTCAGGCCCAGAGAAGACAGAGAGTGTGAGAACATACACCACACACCTCACGTTCAGCGCTCCGGCCGAGGGGTCTTCCTGAGGGGTTCCAGGGCAGCCCATGTGCCCCTCCGCCTCCTCCCTGGCCCAGGCTGCAGAGCCTGGGCTGGGACAGGCCCTGAAGCTTCTGGAACCTGAGAGAGATTAATTCTAGATGAGGGTCAGGGATGGTTATCCTAAGCCCAAAGCTTGCCCCAGTCTCTATCAGAAATAAATGTCCCCGCCGGGCGCGGTGGCTCAAGCCTGTAATCCCAGCACTTTGGGAGGCCGAGGCGGGTGGATCACGAGGTCGAGAGATCGAGACCATCCTGGTCAACGTGGTGAAACCCCGTCTCTACTAAAAATACAAAAAACTAGCTGGGCGTGGTGGCGCGTGCCTGTAATCCCAGCTACTCAGGAAGCTGAGGCAGGAGAATTGCCTGACCCCAGGAGGCGGAGGTTGCGGTGAGCCGAGATCGCGCCATTGCACTCCAGCCTGGGTAACAAGAGCGAAACTCCGCCTCAAAAAAAAAAAAAAAAAAAAAAAAAAAAAGAAATAAATGTCCCCAATACCTCCCTGCCTGCCTGTGACATGGTACACCTGGGCAGTCTTTCTGGCCCACTACCCCTGCTCCGCCTCCTTGGGGTTGTCCACAAGGGCATGTAGGATCGGGAGGAGGCTCAGGATCCTAGGGCAATTGTCACCTGGGGCAGGACAGGCCTCTGCCAGCCTCACTGTCCCTGATGATAAATCATGCAACATTTACCAGCAGGATTCCGGCTCAGTGCTCGGACGCCAGGGGCTGGAGAGGTCCGAGGCTAGATGCTGCCCTCCAGATGCCCACTGCTGTGGCGGGAGGAGAGTGACACTACCACATTCGAGGAGGAGAGGGCACAGTTGTCAGGGAGATGGACTGTTTGAGCTTCAGAGGCAGCATCTCGCGGAGGGGTGGCTTTGAAGAAGGAGCAGGACGCCTGGGCCAGACGGACCTTGGGAGGGTGCCAGGCAGGAGTGGCCGCGTGTTGCTGATGGGCAGGTGGGGAGGATGATGGAGGGGAGGCGGGGAGACACCCTGTGCCACGTGGAGGGGTCCCACCCTCTGGGGCAAGAGGTCAGGGAGGAGGGTGCTGGCTGGGTTCCCAGGCACCTGCCCCTGGGAGGCGCAAATGGCCCTAATGGGGTTATTAGGTGGAGCAGAGGCATCCGGTTCCTGCTGTGGAGGAAACGCTTCTTGAAGGCACCAGGCTGGGAGAGGCAGGCAGGGGAGGGGGCAGACAGGCTGCCAACCTCTGTGAGATAAGCCCTGGCCTCTCCAGAACCTTTTCACAACAGCTATGAGTCCCGACCCTGGGGCTGGGTGACCCAAGACAGATCACTCACCCTCTCTGGGCCTCAGTTTCCCCTTACATAAAAAGCAATGGTTAAGCCAGGCACAGGTGGCTCGTAGCTGTAATCTTAGTGCTTTGGGAGGCCGAGGTGGGGATTGCTTGAGGCCAGGAGTTCAAGTCCAGCCTGGGCAACATAGCAACACCCCACCTCTACAAAATATAATTACAGCCAGGCACAGTGGCGTGTGCCTGTAGTCCCAGCTACTCGGGAGGCTGAAGGCTAGTGGATGGCTTGAGCCCAGGAGTTCTGGGCTGTAGTGCGCTATGATGATTGGGTGTCCGCACTAAGTTCGGCATCAATATGGTGACCTCCCGGGAGCTGGGGACCACCAGGTTGCCTAAGGAGGGGTGCAACGGCCCAGGTCAGACACAGAGCAGGTCAAAACTCCCGTTCTGATCAGTAGTGGGATCGCGCCTGTGAATAGCCGCTGTACTCCAGCCTGGGCAACATAGCAAGACCCTGTCTCTTAAAAAAAAAAAAAGTGTATATACACATACAAAAATTAAGGTCGGGCGTGGTGGCTAAGACCAGGCACAGTGGCTCACACCTGTAATCCCAGCACTTTGGGAGGCAGAGGCAGGAGAATCACCTGAGGTCAGGAGTTCGAGACCAGCCTGGCCAACATGGTGGAACCCCGTCTCTAAAAAATACAAAAATTAGCCAGGCATGGTGGTATATGCCTGTAATCCCAGCCATTGGGGAGGCTGAGGCAGGAGAATCACATGAAACCGGGAGATGAAGGTTGCAGTGAGCTGAGATCATGCCACTGCACTCCAGCCTGGGTGACAGAGTAAGACTCTGTCTCAAAACAAAACAAAACAAAAATGAGCCAGATGTGGTGAGAACCTGTAGACCCAGCTACTCTGGAGGCTGAGGTGGGAGGATTGCTTGAGCCCAAGAGTTGGAGGCTGCAGTAAGTTATGATTGTACCCCTGGACACCAGCCTGGGTGGCAGAGCAAGACCTTGTGTCTAAATTTTTTCGTTTTTAGTTTTTTTGTGGCCCAGGCTGCGATGCAGTGGTGTGATCTCAGCTCACTGCAACCTCCACCTCCCAGGTCCCAGTTCAAGGACTTCTCCTGCCTCAGCCTCTCCAGTAGCTCGGATTACAGGTGCCTACCACCATGCCCAGATAATTTTTTTTTGGGGGGGGTATTTTAGTAGAGATGGGGTTTCACCATGTTATCTACTGATCTCTTGATCCACCTGCCTTGGCCTCCCAAAGTGCTAGGATTACAAGCGTGAGCCACTGAGGCCGGTCTAAAATGAAAAACTTTTTCAAGGGCAGGTTAAACTGGGTGAACCCTGAGACCCTGCATCTCACAAACCCTTGCCCACACCCTGTATGGGTCAGGCCCTGGCAGGAAACAGATGGCACGCTGTCTCACAGGGCAATTGAGAGCGTTTACAAAGGTGTGGGCAGCGATAGGGGAACGGGCAAGAGAGGGTGAGCTGGAACTCGGCTCCAGTGGGGCCCTGAGCACCCCCAGATCTGATTGCTGATGGGAGGGAGGGAGTGACGGTTCCAGGACCAGCGGGTAGTAGCCGTGGGTGGGGGGCTGTAGGTGAAAGGATGAAGCCACCAGAGGAAACCGGTCTCTACCTTCCCGTCCATGACCTCCCTGGCCACACCTCACCAGAAGCAAGAGAGTGCAAGGTCTGAGTGGTGCAGTCGCTGGAGGCCAGCCTGCTGGGTCAGAGCCGCGCAGACAAGGCAAAACGGATGCGCAGGGGCACAGGCTGCTTTCATGCTGATCCGGTGGAATTAGATCATTCCTGCTTTTTTCCCCCCCCTTTTTAGAGATGGGGTCTCACTCTGTGGCCCAGGCTGGGTATAGTGGCGCCTTCATAGCTCACTGCAGCCTTGACCTCCTGGGCTCAGGCAATCCTCCCACCTTGGCCTCCCAAAGTGCTGGGATTACAGGCACCTAGCTTTTTTTTTTTTTGTAGAGACAGGGTCTCGCTCTGTCATCCAGGCTTGAGTGCAGTGGCATGATCATAGCTCACCACAGCCTCCTTGAACCCCTGGGCTCAAGCAATCCTCCCACCTCAGCCTCCCAAGTAGCTGGGATTACAGGTGCATGCCACCACCCAGCTAATTTTTTAAATTGTTTGTAGAGACGGGATCTCTCACTATGTTGCCCAGAATGGTCTGGAACTCCTGAGCTCAAGGGATGCTCCCACCTTGGCCTCCCAAAGTACTGAAATTACAAGCATAAGCCACTATGCCTGGCCTCCCTTCCTGCCCTTCTGGTCTCTAGACGGGAGAGAGGACCACTAAGTCCTGCCCAGACACAGGGCTGCCGAGGCTGGGGTTCGGGCTGGGGGTATGCAGAGGGGACTCCGCAGGGGCTGACCTGTGGGTCTCGGGGGACAGGGCAATTTTTTTTTTTTTTTGAGATGGAGTTTCGCTCTTGTTGCCCAGGCTGGAGTGCAATGGCGTGATCTAGGCTCACTGCAGGTTCAAGTGATTCTCCTGCCTCAGCCTCCTGAGTAGCTGGGATTACAGGCGTGCCCCACCACACCCACCTAATTTTTTTTGGTTTTGTTTTTTAGATGGAGTTTCACTCTGTTACCCAGGCTGGAGGGCAGTGGTGCAATCTCAGCTCACTGCAACCTCCCCTTCCTGGGTTCAAGTAATTCTCCTGCCTCAGCCTCCCGAGTAGCTGAGATTACAGGAGCCCGCCACCACACCCAGCTTAATTTTGTATTTTTAGTAGAAATGGGGAGGTTTCTCCATGTTAGTCAGGCTGGTCTTAAACTCCAGACCTCAGGTGATCCCCCTGCCTTGGCCTCCCAAAGTGCTGGGATTATAGGCATGAGCTACTGATTGGCTGAGATGGAGTCTTGCTCTGTCGCCCAGATTGGAGTGCAGTGGCACGATCTCGGCTCACTGCAACCTCTGCCTCCCAGATTCAAGTGAATCTCATCTCTCAGCTTCCCAGGTAGCTAGGATTACAGGAGTACACCACAACACCCAGCTAATTTTTGTATTTTTATTAGAGAAGGCATTTCACCTTGTGGCCCAAGTTGGTCTCAAACTTCTGACCTCAAGTGATCCTCCTGCCTCGGCCTCCCAAAATGCTAGGATTACAGGCGTGAGCCACTGCACCCAGCAGGGAGAGGGCAATTTTGCCAGCTGGAGAAGGAGTAGCCCCTGAATGTCCCCTTCATCACCTCCTGCCTTTTCCTTGAGAACACCTCCTCCCTGAAGCCCTCCTGGGTAGCCCTCCTACCCACATGCCTCAGGATGGGGAAGTGGGGAGTGTGGGGATCCCCCTTGCTCCTCAGTCGCATTTGGAGTCATGTCCCATGTAGCCGAGCTCACAAGCCCTCCTCCACCCGTCCCTCCTGTGTCACTGGCAATCACTCACACCCTGAGCCTGCACCCATTCAGCTCCCCTATCCCTGGGCACCAGCCTCTGCCAGCTCCGATGGGGACTAATGACCCTCGTCCCTCCCCTCAGCTGCTTCTCATATGTCCTTGGCTCCCTGGCCATCTCTGACAGGACATCCAGGAGGCCCCCCATGCCGACACGCTTCCCTGACAGCCGAGCCCAAGGCTGCCCCCAGCCCTGCACCTCGTCCCGGTTCCCTGGTGCTCCCATCCCCAGGCCCAGGCAACCTCTCTCCCTGGCCACACGCCACCCTGCTTTCTACAGCGGACACCACCTGGCCACAAAGCCTTAAGCCACTTCCTTGGGTCCCATCCAGTGCTGAGCCCAGAGCCCAATCTCAGGGGCTGGCGGGGAGCCCAGTGCATAGCCTGTGGGAGTCTCTCAATGAAAACCCCAGCCATGCCAGGCTGGCTCCTCTGGGTTCTCTGGGGCCTGGAGGGAAAAGGCCCCGGCCCCT